GATGCCTTTTCAAACTGTAGTCCTCTCCACACTCAGGACCAAACTCAAAGTGACAGCATCCTCTTGGCCACCATTTTAAAGTGATTTTAGAATTCCAGGAAGGCCCAGTCCTCCTCCCCAAATGCCGAAATGGGTTCAAACACTCCCCCATAGCTGTACTGGCATTTGAAAATGTGTGTGGTGGGGGAACAAGAATGCCAGACTGTTGGCCCAATCTTGTGGCACTTTAAAATGACTTTAAAATGGCAGCAGCATCCTCAGGGCCACGACCAGTTTGGCCTACACCTGCGAGTAATCTGCATTGTGTACAGTAGACAAGTGTTGGCTTGTAGCAGGAAGGCGTAGCTCCTGTGCCCCTTCTTTCATCACAGTTCTCTGGGTCTGCCACCCCGTGGAGCTGTGAACCAGTGCAGATTGAGCTCTGCCTTCCACAGCCAACCTTGTTTTGCCATAGTTGGGGGGGCTGCTGCCTGTCCTTGTGGAGCCAGAACTCTGGCACAACAGGCAAAGGAGAGCACACAGCAAGGATGTCACAGGAAGGCTGGTAAATAAGGTTGCCAGCCTCCAGGTGGGGCCTGGAGAGCTCCTGCTTTTACAACTGAACTCCAGCTGACAGAGATCAGCTCCCCTGGTGAAAATGGCTGCTTTGAAGGGTGGACTCTATGGCATTGTACCATGCTGAGGCCCCTCCCCTCCCCAACCCCACCATCTCCTGGATCCACCTTCAAAGACTCCAAGTATTTTGCAACTCAGGCCCGGCAACCCTACTGGTAAATGTAACTGCCTGGACCCACCTCAGCCTCATGTCTCAACTTAATGACACAATACAGAGACCTGAAGTCAGGATCAGGTCCACCGTGACGTGAGGACATTTATGAGGCCCAGTTCAACTCTGGACTGCAGCACACAGGAAGAGCATGCTTAGTCTACCCCCCCCCCCCGTTTTCCCAATCTGAAATAGGCTTGGGAGAGAGGCATCTGCCCCAATGGGGAAACCTCTGTGTACTCCATCGGTGCATGTCAAGCCACCAACAGGTAAGGAGTATACCTGGGACCCCAAGGGGACAGGGCATGGAGAGAAAAAGATGCCACTGATATGTATAGATATCTTCTAGACAAAAGCTGAAAGTGACATCACCTGTGCTCTAGGATTTCACTGATCTCTGTGGTTTAAAAAAAAATCAGATCAGAGAAATCCTAGAGTGTTGGTAATGTCAAGTGTAGTTTTTAGCAGAAGGGACATTGGAGCATCAATGACATCTTCCCCTCCCCCCCATCACTCATTTGAGCAGTGGTGGGGCCAAGAGGAGGCAGTGGCAGCAGATTGCCCAACATTGTGCAGGTAAGTTGGCAACACTACCAACAGGGCAAATAGAGCCCCCTGGGCCATTTTAAGTTCAGAAAAATGGCGCAGAGGAGTGAAGACTTAAGCACCCTCTCCTCATGCACAGTGCACCCTTGGGAACTGAGTGCTCAGTGGAGAATGCACAAGTGTACCTCTTGTGCTGGGAAAGATTGAAGGTCAAAGAAGACAGGGACGGCAAAGGATGAGATGGTTAGGCAGTGTCATCGATGCAACGAACATGAAATTGAGCTAACTTCAGAGGACAGCGGAAGACAGGAGGGCCTGGCGGGAGCTGGTCCATGGGGTCGCGACGAGTCGGACTCGACTGTGCGACTGAACAACAACAAACCTCTTATCATGTAGACCTAGGTGAGGAGCCAGGGGGGGAAAACATAATGTATAGTTTTCTATACGTTATGCTGGAGGAAAATGAATGCTGGAGGAAAGGGGCAGGCCTATCAATTTGCTGAGTGCCACTTCTTTGCACACCTGTTTCTTGCTCCTTCCACATCACCTCATTTTCACAGCTGTGCAATTGCATTTTATCCACCCTTGTACTTCCTCCCCATTAAGAGGGGTTGGGAGGAAATACGTTCTTCTGCATGCCTGTGGCTTGTCTCAGGTTTGTAGAAATCTCCCTTTGGCTTGTGGTTAGCTCCATTGTGCTGCTTTTATGATCAGCATGGAGGCCAGTTAGTTTGCTATTGGGGCTATGATTTTTATCTCAAATTCAAAGAATGTCTGTGAACAGTCCTGGAGTCCCTGGTGCAACGGCATTAATGCAGCTAACCAGCTGGGCACCTGATCAGTCACTGCAAATGGGAAACTTCTGAAAGTCCCTCCAAAGCCTCAAGATTGAAAATAACTTTCAGGATGACACCCATATTGGAATCACATGACGTGCTATCAAACAAGATGTGTCCCTCCAAGACACACAGAGCAGCCTGCATTTAAAGTACTATAAGATTTGCTTTATTAATGAGCTCATGTTAAGGCTGGTTTTTGTTTTGTTTTGTTTAAGTCAAGTGATGGGGGAGGGATATACGTGCAAGAAAGGGCATTTTCAGTGAAATCCTCTGCAGAGTTAAAGTTTATTGAACCCAATGATCTTAGACTGGAGTAAATCTGCAGAGGATTGCACTGAAGTTACCACTGTGACAGTACAAAATGAGAGAAAATCTACCTCCCTGATGCTACACCGCAACCAAAATTCATGCAAAATGTAAAATGCAACCAAACATAGTCCTTAGCAGGCTCCTGGCGACCTACAGAGCTCATTAGACAGATTATTTTCATACAGGTTTCTATAAACAGCAGCTACATATTCAATGGAGTAAATGTTGTATTAAAAGCAAGAAATATTATTCAGGTGAGTAATGGTTGTTGGGCAAAAACAGAAGCATTTGATCCAAGACAACTACAGGGAAAATGGTTTACCCCATGGAAATCAGTTCAAGATATTTGTTGAGAAGGATACAAGATAAAAAAAAGAATCCAGATGAATGTGACACATAAAAACTGAGCCAGAAAAGTACACACACACACACAGACCTCTGCAAATGAACAATGGCTTTCACATGAGCCGAGAAGTACATCTCAGGAACCAAAGAAGTTGCCGCAAGAAAGTGATATCAGGGAACAAGTGTCAGTACTGAATCACAGCCATGAATCAGGTTGTGCCATTTGAATGTCTTTTTTTTTCTACGTTAATGTTTCCCTCTTAAAAATGTCACATGAGAGGATGAATCGAAAAACCATTCTCCCCCCCCCATACACACACTTGTTGAAGTACAACACAGAGGTCGATGTCTGCATTAAAAAACACCTAATTGCTGCATTGGTTTCTATTTAAAATGAGACAGAATCCTGATTGTAACTTAAGAAAAACATTCTCTGCAGCATCTTGTCTTATCTACAGCTGGGTTAAATGAGGTGCTGGGGAGGTCGGGCTCCTCTCCCACCACGGACTCCAGCCCAAGCCAAGAGGAAAAGAGCAGCTTAAATAAAACCCCCAAGGATTTGGGCTTAACTGTTGTGGATTCAGAATGGAAATGTAAGGCCCTGACGGGGTTGAACGGCCAGTTCCAGCTCACTCATGGTGCAGGATCCTGTGCTTGCCAAGTGCTACAGAACTGTGCTCCCTGTCTCTAACTGGAAGCCCGCCCCCCACAAAAAACCCTTACAGGCTTAGGAGGTTTTATTTTCACCATTAAAAATGGAAACACAACTTGCTTTCTTGATTTTCGCTCTGCAGCGACTAGGCAGGGCTTGGCGTCTGTTGCACAAAATGTGTGTATACTAAATTTAGTAATGTGACTGTGAAAGGGAAGCCTTACGCCAGCCTTGTGAAGGAAACAGGAGGGGCATTTGGGAAGCATCCTTTACTCCCAGTGGTACCCATCATCCCACCCCCATTATGCCTGCTCCCTCCCAAGGCTGAGCTGAGCACGGTGTAGCTGCAGCTTCTGCCTAATATTTGGTGTTACAAATCAGTATACGGAAAGTAATCCACTAGCAATTTTCCCTACCCAAGCCCTCCTCCTCCCCCCACCCATTTCGTCTCCATGGCAATTGTTACCCAGTTTATACATCTAGAAGCCAGTCCACTGCTTGGAAATAGCTTGGGAGGGAAGCCGACAGATGCACAGCATCTCAGGGCCCCTCTGCTTACGCATGCAACTTCTAGGTGTGCACCTTGCAAGCTGCCTCCCACTTCTGCACCTCTTTCCCCTTTCTTTGCAGACCGGGCACTCCTCCCAAGGTGAGAACTGAAGTCAGGGCCCAGCCACATTCACCTTAGACTAGGGACAGCCCTTTCCAATGGTTTCACCAAAGCGGCTGGGAGATTCAGCCTGAATAGACGCGCCACTCGATTAAACTCAAAAACCAGACAAGCAGGGCACCCTCTTGGAGAGGCTGTTGCCAGAGGTAGGGTGCCCCAAAAGAGGGGGCTCCCAGGATGACCCTCCTCCCTCTGTAGCACTTGTAACCTCTGGGAATCTGGACTCGCTCAGCTGTCTGGCCAGTGGAAGAGGCAGGGGAAGACACAAGAAATACTTTCTACTTTGACCAAGGGACGCCCGCCCGGTGAACACCACTGCCCACACTTGCCGCCACCCGCCCCATTTTTTTTAAAAAAGCCACAGTCTCCTTTCTCCCCAGCCTCCTCAATCTACAAACCCAGCTCCAATTACTACCAACAAATCAATGGAGAGATTTATGGTGGAATTTATTCCCACACCTCCTGGTGCCTTGAAATCTCCAAGTCTGTGCCAGAGCACGGTAGCAAGCGATGCACGCATGCTATCTACACACACAAAAGAAAGAATCCCAAACAGTCAGGGCTAGGGAGACACTGCAGTGTAGGAGAAGCCCCCCCTCCCGTTTATATCTCACGGTAGTGGGAAGACCTGGCAAAACAAGACACCTTTAGCCAAGATATTTCTAAGGTGTGTGCAAGCGGTTTGTTTGTTTTTTAATAATAATCAGGACTGCTTTAATTGCCGAGACTATCCCCCACTCCCCCCCCCAAAGGTCAGCAAGAGAAAAGGATGAGAAAAGACAAAGGAGATTCTGGAGGGAGGGAGGTGTTGAGACAAAAGGGATGTTGTGCAGGGAGGAGGGTTGGGGGGGGGGGCTTGCAAACACGTCTTACCTTTCGAAGCATCTTTCTCTTCTTTGGGCTTGATCACCTTCCCACTCATAGATCCCAGTTTGGTTGTAAAATCCCCCCAGGAGACCTCGTGGAGATTCCGGCTGGTCTTCCAGAACTAGAAGCAAAAGGAAGAAGAGGGGAGGGGGGGCAGAGGGAATAAATAAATCAAAGAGTCAAATGCGATCTCGGTGGCTTGGCTGGCTGGCTGCTGCCGCTGCCGCAGAAAGATGCTCCAAGCCCACCGCCCGCACTGCCCAAGCCTGTCGCCTGGACTGCTGCTGGAAGCCTTTGCGTACCTAGGACGGGAGAAAGGGGGCCAAGGAGGGAGAAGGGGCTGCCGTGGACATCCGCAGGATGGAGTTTCTCCCCCTCCTCCTCCTCCTCCTCCTCCCCGTGGCTGGGAGACTGGCGAGAGACAAAAGCCGTCTCCCCTCCGCTCTGCTGCCAGAATTCCCCTCTCTTCTCCCCACCTTCCCCGGGAAGCAGGAGAGGAAGGGGTGGACCACCACTCCGAAGAGCCTTCGCCCACCCCCCAGACGTTACTGGCAGGCGGACTGCCCTACGCGCACACGCGCCTCTGTCCTCCTCACTCTGTGAAAAGGGGGTGGGGGTGGGCTGGCAGGGGGAGGGTGCAGTCTCCCGACACCCACCCCAGATGGGGAGGTGTTACACTGCAGAGAGGGGGGCGTGGATGATACGTGCAGGGCTTCTTTAAGGAAAGGGGGGGAGACTCATAACAGGACGTGGATGACCTGCTGTGTCCGCATTTTATCCTGCCCCCAGGTGAGGCAGGTGCTACCTGTTGGGGCTCTAGCGATGGTCAATGGCATCAAAAGCAGGGAGGGCTGCTCTGGCTTTGCTTCAAGGGAAAGCCAGGATGAAGCCTCTTATTGCACAAAAAATGGGGAGCGGAGAGAAGACGGTACATGCCGCACCAACTCCCCCTTAACCAAGCATCTTAAAAGGACGGGTGGGTTTTATTAGACACACACTTGTCCAAATAAATGTAGATATTCACCAAGTAGTGGAGCAGACTTCCAGGAAAGAAATTTCCCTGTACATTGCAGGGGGGCGCGCGCTCCATTGAATCACCTGTATGCATTTTTTTTTTAACATATCACTTCTACTCCTCCAACCATCAGAGAAATCCAACTTGGGATCTTTTGGGGCAAATTTCATAGAGATCTGGGGGAGGAAAGTTCTCACCATTGGACTGTTCTTTCACTTTTGCTTCCTTTCCCAGCCACAGCTGGAAGTCTCTTTCCATAGAATTAATAAGGGGCAAAGTCTAATTTTTGTGGAAGTGCCTCCCATCAGCTCTGGCGCAGTTAAATGCACATCTGGGACTAAAGGAGGAGGAAATTTTGAGTACAACCAGAAGATAAAGGATTAAGCATCTGCTCGCCTCTGGCTTCTCCCTAATTCAAAATTGCAGCTTCTCACTGGAACTTGGTTATTTCAGACAATCTGCCCCTCCCCCAAATGGGAAAATCTTGATGCAGGAAGAGACCTGGTGACCAGACAGTAATGAAGACAGGGCTATGGTGTAGTTCAGAGTTGTGGGGAAAATTGGGCTGCTGCAGCTTGTCACTCAGGAATTAAAGAAGCTGTATTTGCTAAAATTCTCTCTTCTGAACTGCAAAACGTACAGCAGGAGTATCGTCCTCTGCTGTTTGGGGGCACACAGGGGCAATGCTCCCTCTAAGCTGTGGAGTCTCGTAAGCAAAACTTCTCCTTTGTGAGCTACTGTCATTGAAGCTGTGAGCAAGTGATTTGGCTACTGCATCAGTTAGTTTGCTCTGGAGCCATCCTTCCTGAGCTAAGACAAAAATCTGTAGGCCGGAGGCTAAAAAACTGTGAGCTAGCTCACGCTAACTCAGGGAACACTGCACAGGGGCAGTCCTCAACACCAACCTTTGCAGGACTGCTTGTGTTCTTGCATGGAGAGGCCTGCAGGTAACCAGGAGGAGACACTTTGCCACGGGGCTCGGTTTGCTCCTGTTTGCTGCAGCTACATGGCAGAGGAGGGTCTCTCCAGTCCTAAGCCTGCCCTACAACACACAAGTTCCCAACATGACTGCCCCAGGGGTGAGTCTTTAACCAACAACAACACAAAACTTCACAGCTCTGTGAGTATGGCAAACAGAATACACTTCACAAGAGCTGGAAACTGGCTAACACTTCAATTAAAAAAACCCCAGTTCATCGTTGAATTTTAAATTCCTGAATGACTTTTTTATACGAAGTATTTTTGGCAAGCTCTAATTTTGGAAATACAACTTGAGATGTGGCCAAAATTAGTGGTTTCCAAAACTAAGATCATATTCCTCTTAAATGCCAAATACTTCCCAGGAAGTAATGCGATATTCTTTTTCTTAAAGATGGAAATAAATGTGCCCTTTGAGGATTATCAGGTGTGAATTTGGGGGAGGAAAGCGTAACTCCTCCTTCCCCATCATGATTTCTCACCTGCCTGTCAAATAATGTCTGAAATGGAAAACCTGTTGTGTGTGTTTTATTATTAACTTTTAGGCAGTTATATTAATAATTTGACGGCTGTCTCTTTTAACTGATCTGTTTGATTTTCTTTGACTTCTGCATTTAGCATTGGTTGGGCCTTTCTGATTTCTTTTGTAGTTTAAATTGGGTTCTGTGATTTTCTTAGGTTTTTCTTAAACAGCTGTCCTCAAGTTGTTTAACTGATGGTTTTAATTGTGGGTCAATTTACCTTGATAATTTTTAAAAATGTTTCATCTTTGTAGGAAAAGCACTGCTGAGAGGAGGGATACAAATATTTTAAATTAATACAATTGTGATTCTATGTAGCCAAGTTCTTCAGGATTTGAATTAATGCCGAGCTTCTCTTTCATGAAGATCTACATATTTCCTTTTTCTGTAACAAGAATCTTCCTTTTATTTTGGCCTGACTGCAAATCCCCACAAAATTTATTGAGTGACCCTCAGCCAGTCACATTATCTCAGCCTGTCCTACTTAACAGGGTTGTTATGAGGATAAAGTAGAGGAGAAGAGAACCATGTATGCCACCCAGAGCTCCTTGGAGCTCATATCTACTGGCTTTGCTTATAGTTATGAAATGTACTTTATATAAGGATAAATGTTGTTTAGAAGAAGAAATTTGAATTATAAACATTATAAAAAGTATAACCAAGTGTGTAAAAGTTATAGAATAGTGGTTTTCTTCAGTGAGTTCATTTCCCCCCAATTGTATTCACACCGAAGCCTGTGGTGAGCTCTGGTGTTATTGCATACCAGAAATAAATCAAAGCATAGTTTAGTAGTTCCCAAACCATGAAAGGCTTCTGGTCTGTACAATTTGTGACCAACTGAGTTGAACACAGCCCATTAGCCATGTGCTGCACCCTGCTGAGCAGTTGAGAAAAACATGCAAGCAGGGGGTATCTTAAACTCCAGGGGGGGAGTTGCTATAGGTGGCAGCAGCTTAATTTGATGGGCCACCAGCTGTGCGGGCTACAAATAGCCCCAAATCTTTATGCAGGATCATCAATGTGCATAGAATGTTACAGTGTACAAGAAGAAAGGTCCCTGCCCCAAACTGTTTGCAGTCTAAAGTCTGAGACCAGGAAGACCACAAAGAGAGGGAAAGGAAGTAAAAGCAAGGACAAACAAGGGAAACAACTGCATTCAATTGTAATCACACATGCTTAGCAGCTATTTCAGAAGGGCAAGGGAACTAAGGGGTATACCAAAGACTTTGAGGCATTCCAAAATGAGAAGGAATTACACAGGTGACATTAGATGCAGTTCCAAGCATATGATTATGCTTCTATGTCCTCAGGTTGTCATACATTCACACACATACTTTGTCAGAGCTTGCCCAGCTTGGTGGGAAGTGCTATCCCTTTAACAGCATCTGGTGACGACAAAGAGGCTGTGTTCCCAGGTGATGTCATGTCTTTCCTACCCAATCACAACCCGCTACAGTCTCTCCACTTGATTTCCCAAATTTGCCTTATGAAAGTCAGAACCCCCATAGCCTGACCCAGGCACAATGTCACAGACAGAATATAATTAGCAAGACACATTTCCCTTCTGGAACTGTCTGGCTAGGCGGCAATTAATTCACATTCCAAAATATATTGTGATTTCTGGCACACAGACAACAGCAGAGCGGCATAAAACACTAACCCTGAGCTCCTTCTTTGAACTGGCTTCTTTTTTTTTAACGGGAAGACTTCTATATATGGAGCAAGGGTTTCTGCAGCAGCTCTTCAGAGCCCAGATTTTGGAAGAGTTTCCTTAAATGCAATTTCTACCTAGGGAGTTTGTTTTTAACAAATTTGCAAACAACAAATGATGTGTTCTCCTTCCCTGCTTTCAGATCTCACAATGGCTAGAATGTATGTACAAATTTAAAAGATCTCTTTTCAGCATTCTACCTTACAGTAACATAAGTCATACATGCCTGCCTGGACAGAAGGGGTTTTCTTGTGTGGGTGTGCGTGGGAAGGGGGGAGATATCCACACTACAAATCATATTACGGTTATCCACTTCTAAACTGGTCCCTCCAGCTGTTTGATCTGCAGCAAATACCAGGTAATTTTCATTACCTCCGTGCTAAGAAAAGCTTCAATGGTCCATTCCATCCATTAAGCCTCTATGACGAGGGTTCTCCGTTTTGCATACACTGACACTGTGAAAATGAAGGCATGCACAGTGGCCAGGGAGGGACCATCCATGTGGGAGTTTTCTATGCACCTTCTTCCATCAGCCACTATTTAGCCAACATAGTGTGCCACCAGAGGGCTTTAAAAAAATAAATCTGTTAATAGTATAGTGCCATAGCAATTTTTGTGTTAAAATAGACTTGTTCGTCTGTGGTGTACAACAGATCCAGAATAATTTGAGGAAACCCCCCACACCTACCACAAAAGGTATTCCAACCCAATGTCCCAGGATTTCTGTGCAGAAGATGGAATAGAATCCTAACTTCAGCCATATAAATAAGATTATTTGTCTTTGCCCATCTTTAAACTTCACAGG